GAAATAGCATTTGAATGAACCACGTTTATTGCAGTGTTTTTTTATTATTATTTTGTTTGTTATAAATTTCCTACAGCGCAGATAGCCCATTTCACAGTTTCGCGCTAAAACATGTAACAAACAGTTTTCTTGAACTGATGTGAATTGAGGCCTAATATTGAACATGAGACTAAAGTATATAGGTAAACAAATACTACTCAAAACAGTAAAATGTTAATAAAAGTTGGGTTATTTCAAATAATCCATGAAATTTACGTAACAAATAAGTATAACATTTCATCCACCTCTTCATCCATTATGCTAATTGGAAATATTGACCTGTCTGTGGCATCTAATTACGACAACTTTGCTGACCAGATGGCACCTCCGGTGTTCTACCCTCCATTGATTTTATATCGTTATTGCTTTGACTCTTCAGTGAAAAAGTAAACTATCAGTTGCATCTCATGCAGATGGTATTCTATTTGTAAAGTGGATAGAAAATTTCAGACTTACAGCAAATACTTTTCTTTAAACTGAATCTTGGAGAGTGACATCTGAAAGAATTTTTTTTAATCATTCCGTCATCTCGTGCTGTAGCTCCTTAGTTCGACAGAACTTTTTCATCTTTAATGAGTGGTTATGATATAAAATCTATGGCTAATGCTTGCATATCTCTGATTATTTCGTAAATATAAATCACCTTAGAGTGGAATGAACCTTTCTGCAGTTAAAATATTTAAAATCTCAGTTCATTATGTTCTCAGAAATCGTCTAAAATTAAAAATAATTATTTTCTACAACTACAATTTCCCATAAACCCCTAACGATTTCGCTTAAAGAAATTCTCTCAGAAAGCACAATTCTTTCTATAGCTATTATCCGCAAAAAATATCCATTTTTATAAGAACGTGTGAGAAGGGAAAAAAAACCTCTATAACGTTTTCATCTACAGAAGTTCAGTAGAAATCTCATCAAATGAGACCATCCATTCTTTAATAACAATCTGTAGAAGCTCTGGTCATCTCGTTTATCTTAATAGTCTCAGAAGAAAGAGTTATTTCTGTGTTTAGAAGAAATAATTATATCTATGATTACAGTTATTCAAAAGTATACTTTATAAACATCATCTCAGAGGATCTCATCTATTTCTTCCTCTGATATACTCCCCAACACTTTAAGAAGCAATGTATGTCACTTGCAGGACATTTTACAGAAAAAATAATTATATCATAGCTGTATAATCCCTGCTGATTTATTTTATAAAAATTTATTATAAGTGTGACGGATTCATTATTATACATTTGTTTTAATATCGATGTTTCTTTAAATTAAATTTATATTTAGAAATGTACATAACGTATGCTGTTAAATATGTATTGCGAAACTCCCCCTATTCTCTGAAGTTGTAGAAGATTCTCGAGTATAAGAATCAACAATATATGTGTGTGTGCGTAAACGCTACTGTAGCTTTGTATTATTACGTATTCTGAGTTTTCGAGAAGCTCCACACGCCTAAAAACAGTATTTATTATTGGTTTGCTATAAACTTCAAAAGCTATGATTGTGTGTGATTAACGCTTATTAA